TTTTTTTTCCAGACAGGGTCTTACTCTGTCACCTAGGCTGGAATGCAGTGGTGCAGTCACAGCTCACTGCAGCCTTGACCTTCCAGGCTCAAGTGATCCTCCTGCCTCAGCCTCCCAATTAGCTGGAACTACAGGTGTGTGCCACCACTCTTGGCTAATTTTTACATTTTTTGTAGAGATGGTGTCTCCCTATGTTGCCTAGGCTAGTGACAAACTCCTGGGCTCAAGGGATCCACTCACCTCGGCCTCCCAAAGTGCTGGGATTACAGGCATGAGCTACCATGCCTGATTATAATTCTAACAACTAAGATTAATCATAATAAAAACTAATAATGATAACTAATGTTTACTGAATGCTTACTATTGGCCAGGAATTGTGATAACACTTTGCAAACATTATTTCTTTTATTATTTTTTATTTTAATTTTATTTTTAAATTAAAAAAATAGAGATAGGGTCTCACTGTTTCTTACTATGTTGCCCAGGTTGGTCTTGAACTGGTGGGCTCAAACAATCCTACAATCCTTCTGTCTCAGCCTCCCAAAGTGCTGAGATTACAGGCGTGAGCCACCGTGCCTGGCGGAAAACATTTCAATCTTCACAACAACCATATGCAGTAAGAACTATGTATATACACATATACACATACATATACATATACACACATACATATATATGTGTGTATATGTATATGCACGTGTGTGTGTGTGTGTGTGTGTGTATATATATATATATATTTTTTTTTTTTCCTGAGACAGGGTCTTGCTCTGTCACCCAGGCTGGAGTACAGTGGCATGATCATGGCTTATAGGAGCCTCAACTTCCTGGGCTCAAGTGATCCTCCCACCTCAGCCTCCCTAGTAGCTGGGACTACAGGCATGCACTACCACACCTGGCTAATTTTTATTTTTATTTTTAGTAGAGACAGGGTCTTCCTATGTTTCCCAGGCTGGACTCGAACTCCTGGGCTCAAGCAATCTGCCCACTTTGGCCTCCCAAAGTGCTAGGATTACAGGCGTGAGCCACCGTGCCTAGCCCAGAGCTGTTATTATTAGTACTTTACCAACGAAGAAACAGATTTATAGTAGTTATGTAACTAAGATTTAACAATTAGTAATGGCTATTTGTATAACTGAAGAATCTGTATTACTGAATAGTATTAAAGAAATATAGTTTAGGCTGGGCACAGTGGCTCACGCCTGTATCCTAGCACTTTGGGATGCCAAGGTAGGCGGAGTACCTGAGTTCATGAGTTTGAGACCAGTCCGAGCAATATAGTGAAATCCCATCTCTACTAAAATACAAAAATTAGCCAGGCATGGTGGCACATGCCTATAGTCCCAGCTACTTGGGAGGCTGAGGCAGGAGAATTGCCTGAACCCAGGAGGCGGAAACTGCAGTGGGCCAAGATAGCACCACTGCACTCCAGCCTGGGTGACAGAGCAAGACTCCATCTCCAAAGAAAGAAAAAAAGAAATATAGTTTAGGGCCAGGCACAGTAGCACATGCCTGTAATCCCAGAGGTGCCTCAGGCAAAGGCAGGTTCTGATTTGCCCTTCGTGAATCAACCAGGGCAGCTCCTCTTTTATTAATTTTATTTTCTAGGCTTCTGGATAAGCTTTGTCTTGGAAAACCAATTCTGCTACTTTAAAAAAGTCTAGGCTAGACAGAGTGGCTTACACCTGTAATCCCAGTGTTTTGGGAAGCCAAGGCAGGAGGACTGCATGAGCCCAGGAGTTCAAGGTTAGAGTGAGCTAAGATCACATTACTGCACTTCTGCCTGGGTGACAGTGCGAGATGCTATCTCAAAAAAAAAAAAAAAAAAAAGGCCTGGCACAGTGTCTTGCACCTGTGAGCCAAGCTACTCTGGAGGCTGAGGCAGGAGCATCACTTAAGGCCAGGAGTTTGAGGCCAGCCTGAACAACATAGTAAGACTCCATCTCTAAAAATATATCAAACATTTTTTAAATTAGCAAATAAAATTTTTTAAAAGTTAGCCAGGTGTGGTGGCACGCACTTATAGTACCAGCTACTTGGGAGGCTGAGGCGGGTGGATCATGAGGTCAGGAGATCGAGACCATCCTGGCTACCACAGTGAAACCTTGTCTCTACTAAAAATACAAAAAGTTAGCTGGACATGGTGGCGGGCGCCTGTAGTCCCAGCTACTCGGGAGGCTGAGGCAGGAGAATGGCACTAACCCGGGGGTGGAGCTTGCAGTGAGCCAAGATCACGCCACTGCACTCCAGCCTGGGCAACAGTGCAAGACTCCGTCTCAAAAAGAAAAAAAGAAGTTCCCATAAACATCTCTTTAGGAAAAAAAAAAAAAAACCCTACACCTGCAACTCCCCATGCTAGCAGCAAACATGAACAAATCAGACCACATACATAAAACTAAAGAAGACACAGCCTGAAGAATCCTACTTAGAACAATGCTTAGAAAGACAAGGAGACAAATCATTACTAAAGACATCCACAGAGTTGTCATTACCACAATACAGAAGTTGCCCCATTTCATCAGAATGAAAATGACAATTTGCTGAGGGAAAAAAATCTCCTTTCTATTTTTCTAAGTTTCTCTAAAAAGATGGCTGTTTTTTTGCAAGTTGACTGATCTACAATAAATTGAACTATTAAGTGTACTCCAAAATCAAGAAAATGACTCCAATGCAGATGCCTCAGAAGTGGTAACAATGTTGTCTTGGCAAATAAATGCTGTTATCATTCAATAGCTGCAAAACTGTTTAAATCTGTCAGTACAATGAATGCCAAACAAGTCCTGCATAATTGTGAACAGGCTGTAGGCTCATTTCTCTCTTTGCGTTTTGATGACTTTTTGCTAAACTGAATGCGAAATCCCCAAGGATCGCAAGGAACAGACCCCTCCACTAAATGTCTGGTTGCCATCTGTTCTTAGTGTGAAAAGAAAGGCGTGGGTCTGAAAGAACAGGGCCTAGCATACAGATGGAGGTGCTGTTCCATCAGTCCCTCTCCTGCCTCTGTTCCCAGAGAATGCACCAAGTGAGAGTCACTTGAGACCAAACACATCTCATCCTCTTTGCAACTCCACCACTTCCAAAGGAAAGTGTTTGTTGTCTGATAAATTTCCAAAGCTGGAAATCTCAGAAGAAGAAAGAAAGGAAAGCTAAATCATACTTACACCTTCATAATACCATTTTTTTTTTGAGACTGGGTCTCAGTCTGTTGCCCAGGCTGGAGTGCAGAGGTATGATCATAGCTCACTGTAACCTCAAATTCTTGTACTCAAGCATCCTACCACCTCAGCTTCCTAAGTAGCTGGGACTACAAGCATCAACATGCCACTATGCCTGCTAATTTTATTTTATTTTTTTTAATTTTTTTTTTTTTTTTTTT